CAATGGTTAAACATATTGTTATAACAAATAATCACTCCCACAACTTTACGACGGATATTCCATTACACATGAGAATTATTTTTTCACAGGAACAAATAAATGAGATGAAAAAGCTTGCTACGATACATTATTCCCCATCAAAAATTGTCACTACAATGAATCTTGCAGTCAAGCCATCAGTAGTTCGACGTCTTATTTCATCTTCGTTTAATAAATTTTCACCTGATCAAACACAACAACTATTTTTGTAAGCCGAAAAAAACTAAACATTTTTCAACTCACTTTACCAAAAACAGTTCAGGACAATTTGTATCTTTTTTGCTTTCAACGTCAATCAAATTTCAACTGATTATTCAAATAGAATGTTTATAGATGATACAGCTTTAACTAATGTATTCAATTTGCCTTTAATAGTAGCAGTGTCTTTAGACGAAAAAAATAAAACGCATATTATTTTTTATGATATATTAAGAGATAGAACAACTGATTCATTTTTCAACTTGTTCAAATTCGTTTCTAAATTTAGAAAATTTAATTTGGCTGTGTGTGATAGGTGCATGTCACAGATTTCCGCACTTTCTTCGGTTTTTTCTGGAATCAAATTCGTTTTTTGTCACAGGCATATTGCAAGAGATCTTATCGTTGCCTTTGGTGAAAGGTCAAATATTGTTCATATGTGGTATCAAATGATTGATAAAACGGTTTCAGAAACAGACTTTGTCAAAACGTTAATGACGATGAGTGGCTCGGATCTCAGTACTGATCAAAATGAAAGAATTGAAGGAAGTGATAACATTATATTAAATGATAGACAAATACTATTTGAAATTATTAATGAATTAAAAATAGCTAATAAAAATGAAAAAAGAAGACCGTACTAAAAATAAAATTCGATTAATCCAAGGTTTACTTAATGTGATGGATTGCTGGAGACCAAGCGTCACGGAGTGTATTTCAAACAGAACAACTTCAAATGCGATAGAAGGATACTTTGGACTTTTTAAACTTAAGTTTGGGGGAAAAGAAGTGACTCTTTTGGAATTGGCGCAACTACTTGAAGCAGACAGCATACGTTTTGATTTACAGTTCAATTTTGATTACAATGCGGCTCGGTTGGTGATAGATGAGAATATACTGTACGTTTTACCGAAGGATATTATACACAAAGTCATGACAGAGTATAGATACGCAATAAGTGGTATGGGAATGATTGTTGATGGCACCACTTTATCTTCGTGCAACTGTGACCAATTTATAGAAAACAAATACCCG